CTATGAAAGTTCAAAGTGTAACTATGTGCCATGTTTTCCACTTAGCAGGCACAGCGTGCAACATCCCCTGCCATTACGCACCTGTCTCTTGTATCTCTAAGATAGAATAGAGAAGGAGTAGTAGACCACAAGTTCGTGCACATTTTGCTGGATCTCGAGGCGGCTTGCATACGGAACCGCGCCAAAATGGAAGTTACGACATGTATTTTTCAGCGCATATCAGGCGCGTACTGGCGTACATGCCAGTCACATTGGCCGACAGGGTCAAAGGTTAGTACTCAAAGGCGCCTCAAACCATTAAAAATCACTTTTTGCGTGAAGCTCGGTTGGATGCCGAGTTTGACGCATTCGTAGGAACGCCACTGCCCTCTATGGATCACGCCCTGAAATACGACTCGAATTGCTGCTTTCTGTGAAAGCTTGAACATGCGTTTGGGCATGCATGAACCGCAAGCGGACCCCGTACACGCGCCAGTTGTGAACACAGCTTTTGGATGGATCTTCCCTTGAAACTAGAACCCCTGATTGTATTAGCTTGAGCTCAAACTTACTTGAAACTGGTAAGTGGCTGGGCTACACTTCGCAACGAGTCCAGAGCATTGCATGTGACGTTTCGCTCGGTTAGCGGAATCCAAACGAATTCAGTGTTCCGCCCAGATCGGCTTACGAAACTGAGAGGGTAAATGGGGCATGGTGAGGTCTTCCATATAGGCGGCACACCCGTCGTCAAGGTACATGATGCTAGAATGATGGTAGCCAGGAGTGGGACTGCACCGTACACACACAAGAAGAGGATTTCCAGGTTAGTGCAAATAGACGTGCACACACGTGTACGCACGCACGTACACAAACATGTACATCCTGTGAATGGGCACACGCACGCATGCACACACGCACACACGCGCGCACGCACACATACACACACACACACACACACACACACACACACACACACACACACACACACACACACACACACACACACACATAGAGGCTCATGCACAGAAAGAGTTCACAAGGCTTGCCTCTGAACCTTGCACTAACACGATGGGCACGTTCAATTACCCACAGTCATTTCGATCAATTCTAGAATTAGTAATGGTGGATGCACCATTCGATTACACAACTTCCGTCGTCAGAATCGACAGAATCCAATTCCATCAATTCCGTCAATTTTGAAGACAGGGCGGAATTGCGAATTCTCTCGCCAGAATCAACGCACTTGGCGCACACGCCATAGATCGTGGAAATCCATCAATAATTGCAAACAAGACGAAAGATTTTGCTCGGCGACGTGCATGCAGGGTCTGAAATGAAAGCAAGTGGGCTGAACGCTTAGGCGGCAGGGGGAAACTAGACCAGCAATGACAGGGTTAATATTCTAAAGCTAGCACGGATCATGATCACATGAAGACGGCGTTCAAGTCCTAAAATATTGTTCCATTGTTATGAGCATGGTATGAGCATGCTTACTTTACTTTCATTGATATTAACGTCACGCTTGTTGCAACCTTGTATCATTGTGTTTAGTATTCTCGCTGCTCCCTACACGTACACGTTGTACTATTCTGCTGATATCGCCTACCTTTGGATACGGATGATTGCGCTATCGTCTACCACTGCACACTCGTAAATTGTCTCACCGCTACGCAGGCTAAGTTTGATTGGATTTTTAAATTCAGTGAAACCTGTCTAAGACGACCGCTCGAGGGGCGTTGATAACGTGGTCTCTGATACCAGGTGGTCTCCATATCCAGGGTCATTTGACTGGAAATAGCATCCCTTGGTCATGGTTGTAGTGGTCTTCTTGGACAGGTGGTCGCCTTATCCGAGTGGTCGCCTTGACAGGTTTTACTGTACTGCATAGTCCAGGATTGCGCATTACTAGATTCATTATAATATTCTTTTTTACAAAATATGACCGCCTCCCTCGCTGATTCTATTGCCTGCTGCCATAAAGTTCTTTTCTCCATGTCGACTACTCGCTAGCGGGAGTAGGCCGGCAATACAGCGGGATCAGAAAGACACGGATTGGCCAGAGAGGAGACTGAACACACACCAGGTACTACTACTGAGGCTCTGGTGGAAATGGGCGAGCAACCGCGGGCGGTGATAAGACTTGGAGATAGGCCGCGCGTCAACTGCAGCAAAACAACTGCCCATTCACCTGTCACCCGAAAGGCTTTTCGCAAGATGCGACGACGTCACTGCTACTCTGTCCATACGTCATCATCGGACTCTCAGCGGCACACCAGCTAAGCAAAACTGCTGCTCAACTTCTGGCCAGGCCCATCTACAGTAGCACCCTGAGAGACATGAATGATTTTTTTAGGATATTGCCTCACACGTATACCAGATGGAATTCTAAACGTTCTTTTGCCGCAGGACTGCAGAGCGTGAGACCCGAGCTGCAAGCAAAAACCTCGTTCGGCGTTCTTTCTTTGTACGCCGTAATAGAAGGGATAGTGCTCACTGCAAGAAAGTAACAGGCCCACTCTCAGCCGATGCTCACGCTCACACCAGTCATGTTCATGTTATTGCTATTATTACTGTAAGGCTACCTGCTGTAGTGTCACTACTTATCAAAGTACGAATGGTGTATCACGTACAGCTACCAAAGCAGCTCAACCAGACCCGTGCTTCCAGGTCCTTCCAAAGCACAGCTCCGATGACTCGATAGCAGGTCAGCGCTCAGAGGCATACACTAGTACCGGTATGCATATTGTTCCCAGTAGGCAGTATGCCAGTATGCCAGTGCTGTAAACGAGCTGCTCAGATGTCAACAACCTGCATTTGGACAGCAGTTGCAGCTTGACATGTGTCAAGAACCGACAGTTCTGACAGTTCTGACAGTTCTGTGACTGGACACTGCAAGTCTGGCCTGGGAGTTGAGCACCAGCCATACCAAGTGCAGCCAGAGTTGCACATAGTAGCATGACCATGGGCTTAGTACGCAGGTTCATGATGCACTGGGTACTGTGTGACCTGCATGCAGGGCTGCCCCTAGGCCTAGTGGCCATGCTAGCTAGCCAGTACCATCATGTAATGACCACCACAAGCACTGCACAATGCACTGGGCTGCACTGGTGCGCACGCTGCGCTGCACAGTGCCCTGAACGCTGCGCTGGCCTACAATGCAATTCTCACCATACACTCCCCACCGACAGGAACCACACTGTCATTGCCACGCACATACACACGCTAGGATGACTTATTGCTACAAACACTTGGCTCGTCTCATGCTGCTAGCGAATGCACGAGCTCTGCTGCGCCTTGCCTGCCGGGCATGGTGTGCAATGCACGGCATGCACAGTGACCTCACTGCACGCAATGCACCTGACTGTTTGCCATTCTCACTCGCACGTCGCCATTCATTGCTTCTCGGTCATTCACATGCACCAGCGCAAGCGGACAACGCATACTGCCGGTACGTGAACACGAGCGCATTTGCAAAAGGCAGTAAACACCATTTTTATCTTATCACACTTTCCCACCTTCACAGTAGTCACCGAGTACACATGTATCAATGGCGGTCTGAGCGAGGTCTGAGTGAGGTCTGAGCGAGGTCTGAGTGATGGCTTATAAGGAGTCGTATGCCATCTTACAGAGCAAGGACCGCTTTATAAATTGATGTATTTTTCGTGCTATATTTATGTAGGAGACTTCCGTGATAAGCATCCATTTGCTTTTGGAGAATCCTTTTATATAAATACAATACAATACAATACAATAAAGGACAAACTAATTTCTTCAATGGGCATCACTGGCTTTGTTGAAATCGGTATTCGAGCGAATAATCGCTCGCGGAAATCCATTTTGCTCCAATCCTAGCTATTTTTGCAGGTGACTCTATTCTGACTAGCGACAGCTCCTTGCAATGTTTTGCAACTCTCGTCATTGAGAATTCTACAGAAAACTGCCAATGTTTCCACGTATAGTACCGGTAACTAGCACCAGCACGACAGAGATCTGTAAGATTCTCAGGCATGTTTCAATCTTACAACCATCACCTGGCTCTACGTGTTGAACAAACACACCATCCACTCACTGCCGACACGTGCAACTATTCCTACGCTACAATACAACGCGGTTCCCTTTAGCCAGCAGAGAGACCTATCCACATGACTCGCATCATGGCAATGTTTCTACTCTGAATCAATACCCAGTTACCATCAATCCGAATATGGTATTTTATTGGCCAAGTCCCATTGAATATGTCACGAGTCACCTGATAGTTGCATTGTACAAGAAACTGTGAGTTGCGATATACTCTCAGGTATGCTTCTTTGCGCCTTTTTGAGTGCTGTGCTACACTATGCAACTCCAAACAGGAATAAGAGAGGGAGAGAAACAGAAAGAGGGAGAGAGGTGGAGAGAGAGAGGGAGAGAGAGAGAGAGAGAGAGTGAGAGAGAGAGAGAGAGTGAGAGAGAGAGTTCATGTTGCAGGCAAAACCTCCACCCGATAAGAAAGGACACATGAGGAGGTCTGCATCCCAGTACAACCACACCGGCTCATTTTAAAAGTGTACTTACGGTTCATTCGGCCTGCCATTCCACGCGAACACTATCCAGAGAACAGGAAACGCACACTGAAAGAGATCCGACCTGTGCACGGGACAAATGAAACATGAAACTCGGATTGCGGAGTAGAAACAAATGCTGAGCGCATCGAGGAGCAGGACATGCACATACATGTAACTGCGACGGTGCGGATCCTGCTGCTGCAGCTTCTGATGATGCTGGTGTTGTTGCTATTGTTATTCCTACCGACTGAATTGTTTCTACTATGCATACCAGCTGTGTGTAAGGACCAGCCGCACGGTAAGCACTGTACTTGCACCAACGATGAATAACTGGTACATGCACGCAAGCACGTCCATGCAACAATGGACTAGAAGCATGTGAGTATAATTATACATATACTCATGTGCATATGTGTATGCACAAAACCATCAGTGAACAAACTGTCAAAAAACCCCAAAGTACTCGACTGCGGTTAGTGGTACGAGTGCATGTCTTCGGGCACTGTATAGTGCATGCACGCATGCACAGTCAACGCGCCTGCCAACCTGTACAATTCAGTGACAGCGCTGAAGAAGAAAAAACTGGGGGGAATTCCCTAGCTGGTGATCACAGTGCACGCATTGCGGAATTCGGATTCGAGCATGATGTGCACTTGTTTTCGTACATGGCACTTGTCTTGTTGAATGACGTACTTGTAAATGCTTTTACATCAGTATCGGTGCAGACTTCTTGGCTACAGAGGCATACAGCGAGCATCCACAGAGTTGCATGCTTGAGCCATGCTGCTGTCGCATTCCGTGCGTGCCGACGGAGTCAAACACGTGACAGCCATACGTGGTAGCAATATTCGGTTCATACTACATGCAAGCAAGAATACTTTGCTAAGGCAAACACCTCGAGTATGACCTGTTTTGGGCAAAGGTGCTGGAGTACAAATTCCCTCGGTTTCAGCATACACTGAAAACTATGTCCAACGTCAGGTTGCCGCGGCAACCACATTCAAATGCTCTGCATGCAAAGTAAAGTGGATGCCTCCTACCGGTGCTGCTCCCGCCACTAGCGAAACTCCTGTCTATGCACTGCAACAGCATTCCAAGCTTTGTGAACAACGTAAAGCATGCCTGGCATCACACGGGACCCGCCATTAGCTACATTCCTCTCTTTCTTTTCTGCAAGGACTCTAACGTGTTCTGGAAGTACCGACCCCAAACAATGCCAGGCACGAACTGAACAAATACCGATGGCTGGACAAGTACTTCACTTTGCAGTGCAGAAGTGACAGGATGCAACCTCCCCGCATATTTCCAGAAAATGAGGAGAGCACTGTAGTCTGCTCTGGCAACACACACACACACAAACACACACACACACACACACACACAGCAGCAGCATTGCTGCGGACCAAAATACGACCAGGCGGTTGAGACAAGGCGTCTGCTCTGGCACCACACAGCCGCATTCCTGAGGATTGGCATACGACCAGGATGAGACTAGAGAACGTTTGGGTTTTTTTAGTGGAACATTCAGATCCATAACGTAGATGGAGAAGTACAAATGTACCGGTAGAGCACAACACATGAACTGCATGTAGTAGTAATTTTAGTACGTCTTCTCTGTTTGGGTTTAGCTTATAATGTTCATTTTTAAAAATTCTCCATCTTTTATAGAAGCCAGGACAAGAGTCAGGTGGGAAGTCATTGATCATTCTGTTCATTTGATGAATTCCTGGATGCTGTGCCTGAAAATACTCGCCCTCTGCCTGAACGCATGGCTGGACCTGAGTGCAGTGATAGCCGAGGCTGGATCAAGTTCTGACAATTGCATTGTGCCCTTGCTGACAGATCAAAAATCAGTCTAGACAGCAGAGTTATCTGCCCAAATGCGGGACGCTCGTAGGCCAATCCATACTGTATGTAACGCCGGAGCTCAAGTAGGCAGTCTCAGAAAATATTGTGTCATTATACTCTTACTATTCTTGTATCCTTCGTGTGTTTTTTCTCACTCCAAGTGTGTATAAATCCCATTGTAGTTTCATCATTCTCTTTAGTCACGAATTCCATTGAAAATTGCGACAAGAAAACGTTCTGGAATACTTTATTCGTCGCTTTGGTTGTGATATGAGTGCACATATTAGCTTTATTCATTGCATCATGATACTCCTGTTGCTATTTAGTGTTCGATATGGGGCTGCGGAACGTGCCGGCGATTTCTAATTGAGACGTTTCGGGTTGAATTCCCGACGATTATGGCCACACACATCCGTTTTTTCCCTTTCTCATTCTCCATCCGGGTCTCTCGTCCATTTTCTCGGGTAGATACCAACAGCGAGTAGACGCCAGAGTGTGTGCTGTGATGCGTGCGAGGGGTGAAAGAAATTTACATGAAAAACAAAAAAAAGAGAAAAGGAATTAAAACCCAAAGTAGTAAAACACTGGCTAGAAACCACTTTGAAAGGCTGTGCATTGTATACCAGGCTACACAAAGGCGGCGGTGAATCCAGCATTGCAGGCTGTTGAGTCCGGGTGCAAATCCAGCACCAATTGCAATGCCTTCTGCAGTTGCATCGCCAACTTGCTTTTGTAGATCACCGCGTCCAGGAATGGGCATCTCCGCATTCCAAGGTCAAAGTACTCTCGCTAACGTTCACTATCTCGGCGCAAGTAACAGTGTGATGCGTACACAGTGCAGGGCACTTGCGTCAAACAAGACATGTTCCTGGCATGCAACGACAGACGCACGACAGACAGATGACATTTGCGTCATAGAGAAACGAAGTGCGTCAAAGAAGGAGCTGCACAACCTGAAGGATTCATGCTTTCTAGTTTCTTCGCAAGCCTTCCACATCCTTCCACATCCTTCCACATCGGTTGCACTTAGTATTGTATACTGGAACAGCACCCACGGGTATTATCAATTGTAGCTTGTGTAGGCTTTTCAGCACGTATTTTCTACTTCTGGAAAAACGCCATCATGATAGACCAGAGTTTGCATAAACCACCACACCACAACTGCAGTGTCCAGCCGACCTCGCCACGCTAGACACGTTGGCTGGAGAGCACAGTTGTTGTGTGGTGGTCGATGAAAATCTGTGCAGGGCCGAATGCTGCTGCGTTCCCCTGTGTTTAATATGATAGACCGGGTGAGAACAAAACGAAGCGCACACCCAATACCCCAGCGACAACACAAACGGACTCTCAGTCCAGACCACAGATGGCCGCTGTTGTGTTGTGCAGACCACACCGCCCTGAACACTACAGCAAACCGCCGCCAGCACCATTGCTGGTCTAGGCACCATTGCGGCCGCGCAATACTATGATCATCCCCGGGAGCCATGGCAGAGCACGACTGACTGACAAGGCCCACTAGTAGATACTCCTCAACTGCTGGCGATCACATGCTGAGAGAAGACTTTGGGTAGGGGCAACACACTATACTTCCCCTACACATTGCGTGTGTACGCATGCACGCACGCACAGCCCAGTTCTCTGATATCCGACCACACAGGCACACAATGGGGGAAAAGAACAACTCGCAACTGCAATACCCGCGGGTGCAGAACCCATACCAGCCCAGCCAGGGAGTATACCCAGTAAAAGAACACCATGTTCCACTCGACAGTAACCTTACAGTAACTACAACGGAAAACACTTGAATTCGAAACACAATACAACAGATTCCCAGCTGCACTGTATCAGATCAATCACAAATGGAGGCGTCGCTCAGGGTCTGAGTTCAACAACTGGAGGTGTTTTTAGTCGGAAAGAACACGTTGCAGTGATATTACAGATTTCAGAAGCAACGCAATGGCGTTGCCTTGCCACGACCAGGGTGCTCAACTTACCCACCTTGCAGCCTTCTCCACAAGTTTGCTACGGCGGCTTCTCTTCGTGTGCTAAAGCACTTCAGCAAGCCAATGGCGATGTTGCTTTGTACAGTACTGCTACTGTACAGCTAGTAGGGAGAGTGAGAGCAGCTCACTTCAATCACCTCAACCAGCAGGGTATTTAGCAGAGCAGATGCGAGTATGTGCACCGGCGATGAAACCCTGCCCTCCAAATGAAACAACTTATTTTATCTCTTCGATGAGGCTGCAGCACACTTGATTTCTGTTTCGATGTGGCCTGGGCCCAACCAGTGGATAGTGCTTGATTTCGATGTGGCCTTTGGCCCGAGCAGCAGATAGCACTCTCGGTATTAGAGCTAGGAAAGCCTAGGATCACTCCAGATGACGTAATGGTAGAAGCCATACGTATGCATGCTGAGTAATCACCATTCATGCAGCCCAGACACTGTACCACTTCAGACAAGGTCCCTAAAGACAAGTCCATGAATTGTGACAAGCTGCTTGAGTAATGCCACTGCCCGCTGTATTATTATTTCCTTTACTGGCCTAACTGGCTTTTACAATGTAATACTTTACTACCCACTCTACTCAGTGTCATTACCTTCATTGGTCTTTTATAATTTATTCTCCTTTTTAGTCGATATCATGTAATTAGGCAAATTTGCCTGTTTGTTCTTTGACTCTAAATAAACAAACAAACAAAAACAAAACTGCTGGCAGGTGCACTGGCAGGTCCACGAGGCACGCACCATGCTATTAGAGAGGTTTCGAACAGCAAACATTCTCGCGAATTTTCGTTGGACGTCACGAAAAGCCAAACTTCGTTTAATGTTCGCAGCTTTGAACGCGAAAGTGCAAGGAAATGAGAAACAAACTTTTGCAGTAATTTTCGCTCTTTGTGGACCGTTGGTGCACGGTGAGCCACCCTCAATCCTCATGTTTGTGCTTGATCTCTACTCTTCGCTTGGTCCGCAAGTGCTAGCTTTCCCATACTTGTGGCAGCACGTATTGCTTCCTCTCCGGAACCATCTCCAATCTCCTGCCTGCTCGTCTCCTCACTGCTCAGAGTCGGTTACATCCATGATGCCTTTTTATAATTTCAGGTGTTGATGCGCCAGATTACGGCACACGCCAACCCGTTTGTCTGTGGGTCTCCGGCCATGGACAACATAGTCAAAGAGCTCTCGTCTCAGGCCGTGACTCAGGGTGCCGCCACTCGCAACAAACAAATAATCGGATGAAGACCACTTCTCAAACAAGCGCGAGTGCATGTGAATTTTTCTTGGAGCGAAAAACATGCAAAACACAAATTTCGCGCGAACGTAAGCAATAGTTTTTGCAACCCGGAACGCGAAAATCATTGCGAACGTTTGCTCTGCTAAACTTCTCTAATAACCTGTGGCGAACGTGCTGCATTACAGCCGAGCGGGATCCAAGAGAACGCTGACTTTTGGATCCACTCAGATCCAGTTTTTCTGTATGGATCCAAGCAAGTTTGGGTGGAGTTCCTTAGCAGCAGGAAAACACATCGGACGGGACTTACATAGCTGAGTCTTCCTAGCCTGGGACCCACCAACACTTATACTGTGCATTGAAACCTGCCTAAGGCGACTGCTCAGAGGACCTTCAAAACGTGGTTCCCGTGTACAGTTGGTCTCCTTAGCCAGGGTCCTTTGACTGGGAATAACACCACTTGGTCCTAGTTCTAGTGGTCCTCTAAGACAGGTGGTTGCCTTCTCAGAGTGGTCGCCTTGACAGGTTCTACTTACTGTGCAGTAAAATCTGTCAAGGCAACCACGCGGGTAAGGCGACCACCTGTCCAAGAAGACCACTACAACCAGGACCAAGGGATGCTATTTCCAGTCAAAGGACCCCGAATAAGGAGACCACCTGGTAACAGAGACAACACGTTGAAGGTCCTCTGAGCAGTCGCCTCTCACAGGTTTCACTGTATATACAAACCAGACTGTGTGTTACAAGCTTAGTTTCCGGATTATGGATGCCCACACGGTACGGGGGTAGAAGGGCATAGTAACAAGTCTCAGTTATATTTTCTCAGATTTCCGTCAAGCAAAGCACTAGTGATGAAGTCATAGTTCTCGTCAGCGAAATTTGGTCTCATGATTAATAAAGCAGCGTCGTGCGTGAGTGAGCAGAGTGCTGTTGTGTGCGAAGCTAGGGCTGCGTAACCCTCGGCACTATTCTATTCATGAAGTCGGGCTTCTCGGACCAGGGCCGTGCAGTTTGCAGAGTCTGAGAAAGACGCGCACTACCCAGAGCCAACTGACTGAGTGCGGTAGTTCATGTCATGAACAGCAAAACCTGTCAGGACGACCACTCGGATAAGGAGACCACCTGTCCTCGAAGACCACCACAAACAGGATCAAGGGATGCTATTGCCAGTCAAATGACCCTGGATAAGGCGACCACCTGGCATCAGAGACCACATTTTTGAAGATCCTTTGAGCGGTCGTCTTAGACAGGCTTCGCTGTATTCGTAGCAGCACAACGCGTACTCAATGGAAGCCGACACTCTGGAATGCAGAGATAAAATCTGCATGACCCATGTCTGCGCTGGGCCTGACGCGCTGGGCCTGACAGCGACAGAGACGGGCGGGTCCAGGGTAGACAGGTCGATACGTCAGTCGACACGTCAGTCGACATCACCAAGCTGTGCATGTGCAGCAGAACGCTAGAAAGGCCAGGCCGGGGCCTTCATTGTAGCTTTCTTTGCCATGCTGATCTGACTGGAATACTCCCTTTCTCATTCCTCATTCATTCACACTGCATACATAGTATGTAGACATCATAGCAGACTCAGCGGAGGACGTTCCACTGAGCCTGCTATGTACTAAGCTCTGTCTCTGACATTGAGCGCTCTCTGCAGCTCGGGGATCAATGGATTTATGTAGACATCATATAATACAGTGCTGTTGCTCAATAAAATCTGATGGTGTGAGTCAAGCACGCGCCGTGCGCTGTGCAGCCCCGGGCCTGCAAGTGCAGGACTGGTGGTCACTGGTGCAGGACTCCGACTTGACCTACTTGCTAGGATGTCATTGAGCAGCACAGCACTGCACTATCTACTACTAACATTGTGTCGAGGCACATTTGGCTGGTGGCCAATGTATGCACAGTTAAAACTTGAAACTTTCAAGAAACATACCGTATTTCCCTAATTATAAGTCGCACCCCTATTTTCAGGTTTCAGCAATATTGATTTGATATATATTGACTTTAGTAGCAAGTCGCACTCGTTTGTAAGTTGCATCTCCATGTTCAGGTCCATGTCATATTGGGTACTCTCATATTTGTGCAATTGTTAATTTTGCTCCTGAATTGTCTTCCCTGTTGCTTTGCTACCGTCCTCCTCCTTCCCCCACCCTTTTTCTTGTTTAACCCCATTATCACATTCGCTTCCATGTAATTGGGCTTGTAGCCCGTGTGTACTTGCGAATTCAAATAAAAAAATATACTTTATTAATGCGATTAATAGTATAAGTGAAGCGGACATTACAAAATGATGAATGAGAATACATGTATCTAAAATGGTTGTTCCTAATCGATTTTCTTGAGACTATCATCATATACACATATCGTTTCAATACATTCACTTCAGTAGTGTATCATGCTCTATTGTAAGTCGCACCCTCCCCCCCCCCCCTTTGTTGGCCATGAAGTTCGCTGTAAAAAGGTGCGACTTATATTCGGGGAAATACGGTACCGCTCGCTGGCTGTGAGTGCAGGCAAACGTAACGGCCAAGACTACTGCTGAGCCATTACAGCCAAGACTACTGCTGAGCCGTTACAGCCAAGACTACTGCTGAGCCGTTTCAGCCAAGACTACTGCTGAGCCGTTACAGCCAAGACTACTGCTGACCCGTTACAGCCAAGACTACTGCTGAGCCGTTACAGCCAAGACTCCTGCCGAGCCGTTACAGCCAAGACTACTGCTGAGCCGTTACAACCAAGACGACTGCCGAGCCGTTACAGCCAAGACTACTGCTGAGCCGTTACAGCCAAGACGACTGCCGAGCCGTTACAGCCAAGACTACTGCTGAGCCGTTACAGCCAAGACGACTGCCGAGAGCCGTTACAGCCAAGACTACTGCCGAGCCGTTACAGCCAAGACTACTGCTGAGCCGTTACAGCCAAGACTACTGCTGAGCCGTTACAGCCAAGACGACTGCCGAGAGCCGTTACAGCCAAGACTACTGCCGAGCCGTTACAGCCAAGACTACTGCTGAGCCGTTACAGCCAAGACGACTGCCGAGCCGTTACAGCCAAGACTACTGCTGAGCCGTTACAGCCAAGACTACTGCTGAGCCGTTACAGCCAAGACTACTGCCGAGCCGTTACAGCCAAGACTACTGCTGAGCCGTTACAGCCAAGACGACTGCCGAGCCGTTACAGCCAAGACTACTGCCGAGCCGTTACAGCCAAGACTACTGCTGAGCCGTTACAGCCAAGACTACTGCTGAGCCGTTACAGCCAAGACGACTGCCGAGCCGTTACAGCCAAGACTACTGCCGAGCTGTTACAGCCAAGACTACTGCTGAGCCGTTACAGCCAAGACTACTGCTGAGCCGTTACAGCCAAGACGACTGCCGAGAGCCGTTACAGCCAAGACTACTGCTGAGCCGTTACAGCCAAGACTACTGCTGAGCCGTTACAGCCAAGACGACTGCCGAGCCGTTACAGCCAAGACTACTGCTGAGCCGTTACAGCCAAGACTACTGCTGAGCCGTTGCAGCCAAGACTACTGCCGAGCCGTTACAGCCAAGACGACTGCCGAGCCGTTACAGCCAAGACTACTGCTGAGCCGTTGCGGCCAAGGCGACTGCCGAGCCGTTACGGCCAAGTCTACTGCTGAGCCGTTACGGCCAAGACTACTGCTGAGCCGTTACAGGCAAGACTACTGCTGAGCCGTTACAGCCAAGACTACTGCTGAGCCGTCACAGCCAAGACTACTGCTGAGCCGTTACAGCCAAGACTACTGCCGAGCCGTTACAGCCAAGACGACTGCCGAGCCGTTACAGCCAAGACTACTGCCGAGACGTTACAGCCAAGAATACTGCTGAGCCGTTACAGCCAAGACTACTGCTGAGCCGTTACAGTCAAGACTACTGCTGAGCCGTTACAGCCAAGACTACTGCTGAGCCGTTACAGCCAAGACTACTGCTGAGCCGTCACAGCCAAGACTACTGCTGAGCCGTTACAGCCAAGACTACTGCTGAGCCGTTACAGTCAAGACTACTGCTGAGCCGTTACAGCCA